CAACTCCCAGAAAGTATTTTCACTAATGGCAGTAGCAAAACAAATGCTATAGAGGCTAATCAAAAAGGGAAAACATTTCCAAAACAAAGTGTAAAAGCATTGACTGGCTCTGTAGCCCACTGTGATATTTTGTCCCTTATTTCACTGCAGGGCTATAAAGAATATTACCAATGCGGAGCTCCTGTGGTCTCATTCTCATATATCTTTATGTGTTCCTGTAAAACACACTTGCAGTGTGTTTCATTTGGGAGCACAACACAAAATGATCCCTTATTTTCTAGAAGATAACTTGCCTTGAACTGAAGAAAAACCCTTAACAAGGCTTGCTCTATAAATTCCCATTGTTTGTTTTCATTTCGAGACAGTGAAGACTTCTGATCCCTTTTAATTTACCTAGGCTGATAGTTATTTCCACTTTTCAGRAAAATTTGCAACATTTAAAAAACTGGAAAGAGCTCTGTGCAACATATTGACTGTGATTTCTCCCGTCATCCACTTTTAGCAAACAAGCCTGTAAAAATACTTTTATAGTGAATAAAAAGATCATTTATAGTGTTGTCGGAGACATTTATTTTGTTTTTCTTCTTTACTGGCAGCCACTGCTCACTTCAAGCCTCACACTGAACTTTTTATGAAGAGTAAGTGACATAAAAATAAGAAGATGTAAGTGATGATTTTGCTCTTGTTTAACATCCCATCAATGCCCATCCCATCAACTTCTTCAGACTGAGCTCTGACAAGCATCCTTGTTAGGTGTGGTTCTGAATATAAAAAAGGTCTTTTGTCACTTTTCTCCCTTTTGCTGTCCTTAAATGCCCAGAAATTGGAGGTGTAAGAAAAACCTTTGAGGTCAGCTGCCCTGTTTTTCCCACCAGGCTCATTCCTAAGGTCTGGCTGTGTTTTACTCAGTGCAGAAACAGAGCAACTCAACAGGAGATTCTGCTGCTTCAGGTGCTAYCTTCCAAGCAAACACATCTCCCCARCAGGATGTTAATTCTGCTATTTGRCSTAATATTTCTTTTCTTTAATSACAATTTCATCATTCCAYGGTTTCATTTCACRCCAAGCTCTGCTCCTTCCCCTCTGGTGAAATCAGGTTGATTTGGGGGTACCTGGGCATTTCACAGAATCCCAGAATGGGTCAGGTTGGTAGGGATCACATTGGGTCACCTGGTCCAGCCTCCCTGCTCCAGCAGGGTCATCCCAGAGCATGGGGCACAGGATTGTGATCAGACAKTGTCCAGGCTGGGTGTCAATCACAAACAGAGCATTTTTATCCATTATTATTTATCAAGAGAGAAACACATGATGGTTTCCTTTCTCTGCTTCAACCATTTTGAAGGTTGACGGGGAGGGGAACACAATGGACTTGACAGAATATKTTGTTAGGCAGATATGAGAGATCTGCAATTTGCACTGTCCTTTGAAATGTGTAGCACTGTTTTTAATCACTTAAAGCATAATACAGGCAAGTTGAGAACAGGAACACATGAAAGATCACCTTAATCAATTACCTGATGGAACTACAGCAGRGATGGATTTGATACTGCATATTTAYGTCCTAATTGCAAGTCTGATAGTCTCAGGATGAGCCAAAATACATCTCTAAATGTGACTGAGTGAACACAAAAATCTTGCCAGATTAAAAGTTGCCCTCATTTCAGGGAAGAAAAAAAAAGACAAATGGAGCAGTGCTGCTATTGATGGAAATGATGACTGCTATGATGGGAAGGCTGGAAATGCAAATCAAGCCACGTGCAGCACCACTCAGTAACCTCACTGTCATTGTGCTACAGAAGGGAATGGAACATCTGCAGTTCAGCACGTTGTGAGCAAAGACTGCAGGATTAGCATTACCTAAACAAGCCACATTTTGGTTAATGATGCCACCTGCAAATGAGCTCATGTCACTCCCTGTTCAAATTTCAGATACAGCTCAAACAYACCTACAAAAGGCAAAAATTGCAATCTGGTGTAAAGAAACCCAACCGTAAAACCACAAGCTTTTATAATATAAATATAACAATCCATAAACTATGACTTTGTCCACATCATCTGTTTCACTCAGCTCTGGTCTGTAAGTGCTGACAGCAGTCACCCTTATTAACAAATCAAAAGAATTACGAAATAAAAGTATTATTTTTAATTTAATATTAGCACAGTCCTCAGTTGAATCTCACTGCTCTTACATAAACACAACTCTACGTGTAAACCAGACAAGACAGGCTTGCCGTCTTTTAGGGCACGAGCTGGGTTGATAATTCCACCTCCAYAAAAGATTAGGTGGGACTTMAGAAAAAAGTTCTCCCTGAGTGGTYAGTCTCAAACATCCAGTATGYTTTTATCCCAAGAGTTTGATTTTCACAAGGGCCAGAAAGGTAAAACTTCCTCACTGGGYCAATTTTCACATTTTCATTGTCATTTCATGCAAGCTTCTGTGATCACTCCTCCACAGGCAGGAGTGAAGAGTTCAAAGCAAAAATCAAGYTCTGATCAAGCAAGTCAAACACAGCTCCAAAAGATTCCCTCACATGCCAGATTTTCTGCCCAYTTGGATCTTAAATCATTTGAACAATTGAATATCTTGCAATATGATTTCTGCTACTTTCTTCCTTTCTTTACTAACAGTGCTAACAGTACTGCTCATTCTTGAGATACAGGGATTTTCTTATGTGTTTTGGGTTTGGCCTGATTTTTTTTTTTAAGTTTGTAAAGCACATGCCCATGTTGTGAGCAAATTTATTGGAATGTGAAAYCATTTTCCTTTTCCTTTATTAATATTGAATGGATGCATATTCAATGCAGAAGTGTTAGGATGCTGTGTGGACTAAGAAATTTATAACTTCAGAAGAATTAAAAATATTGAAATGTTTTGAAAAGTTAACTTGCATCAATGTCACTTCTGTAATCTTGTTGGAAAATGTGCCATTAAAAGCAATAACAATTTGTGCTATTTAGGTCATGGCAGAGCTGGGAAAAAAAGACCTGAATTGAAAAGTATTTAAAAAATAATAATAAAAAAAGGAAGCAGAAAATTCACTTAAGTGTTTATGCTTTAGTATAGGAAAGTGTGATATAACTCCTCAAATATAAATAAAGCCTTAAATTACACAGGTATGTATGGCTGGGATATACTGGAATTAAAACAAACAAAASCCCAAAATTCTTTGTCCAAATGCAGCCACACCTCTTCCAAACAGAAGTACTAAATCCATCTGAAACAATGTATTTAAGAATTCTTGAATGATGCATAGAAAATACCTTTCTGTCCCCTTTTCAGAGAGGTTTTACATTAGAACTGTTACCACTTATGATTGTGATGCTCTCCCAAATGGTTTTAATAACAAATAGTTTGTTTCAACAAATTGGTTTTGAGACTGCTTTCTTCTCTTTTAAGCAACAAAAAGCATTGTTCTTGTAAATCAACACTGAATTTCAACAGTTACAAAAACACAGTTTCCTATGCAGAATTATCAGATTGATACATTGGATGCACCTATTTCTATCATGTTGCAAATGTTATTAAACATTTAATGGCTCGTTCTAGTCAAGTTTACTGCAAGGAAATCAACCCTGATACTTGTGATAAGCTTGTCAGTGACACAAAATGGCATTGAGGTCTCCACTCTACAAATGTAACACCCCTTGGTCTTCTGGTTAAGATGAAATCAGAGGAAACAAAGGGGCCACCAAAGCCAAACAATTCTCAGGTCTTTTCCATTAACAAATTTAAATTCCCTATCACCACAGATAAGGAAGAAACTGCCAGTAAAGGTTTGCATTCTGATTTTGTGCAGCACCAAGAGAACCCAGCAGACTCAGAAGAGGCAGACAACCAACCCAGCACATTACATCCACTTAGTCAAAAGCTTTTTTCCACTTTTTTTTACCCAGAACACCTGAAAGTTCAATCACTCAGAAAGATCTACCTGGACTTCATGGTGGTACTTTCTTGATTAGAGGCTACTRACTGGAGGAATAATTTGTCAGGGTCAATGCACACCAGCATTTTTTTACTTAGCTGTGAAAGGGAAGCCAGCACTTAAGAAATTAGGAGCATTAGAAGAATACACAACAATTATGTTATTTATTAACAACTTTTATAGCTCARATTTAAAAATATTAAAGCAGAAACAATTCAAGATTCATGAAGAAAAATCTGGAACTATATACATGCATAATTAAGAATATCTTGATTCTCATCAATATTTAATAATAAGCCTTTTGTACAAGTTTTTYCCCACAATCATATTTACAAGCGTGTCTGTTTAAAACATATGAAGATATATCTCTTATAGCATTTACAAATCTTTTGAATGTATCTTTTTCTTAAAAACAAAAGAATAATTCCTTGATTTGACAGTTTTGGTTTCATTTTATGATACTGGACAGGTATTTATTCAGAGGGATGGAAACAGTTATCATGATTCAAATAGCTAAATAACAGTCATCCTACTGATACCCAGAATTATCATATATGGCTTTAARTATCTCCCAAACTCAAAGGATCATCTTACAAGCATAAACTACAGTCCATCTGTGGAATGTTTCTAATTAAAGTCTCAAGCCTTTGTTTGGGTTAGATCCACAATTCAGCAGACACTTTCTAAGCATCTACTCAGAGTTAAGAGGCCCTTTAAATGATACAAAAACCAAATTCACTTCCAGTCTGGTCAAGAATATCTGAAGTCTGTATAAAAAGGGATGTATGGACTTTTCCAGACACTCCTGCTATCGTTATAGATGGTTTTCATCATGGGATATCACAGTTTTGAACAGACAAAATTTGTGCAGATTTACAGGAATCAAGTGAGAGATCTTCTAAGRAGGGGAAGAATACTTTTTCCTCAAAAGCATTTTTTAGAAAAAGAAGTCTGAGAAGATTTTGCACTTCATATGTCTAAGTTATGGACACAATCCAACCAGTCAGATCACTTCATAAATTAACTGAAAATCCATCAGCTTGCTTTGYTGTGGTTGGGRMAAAAAAMMMMCYCAAACCTCTGGCTTTGGCAAATCAAAAAGTCATCTCCTTTGAACACTGTCCTCTAGAGCTCCTGCACTGTTTCTTCCACAGTTTGCTCCTCCACAGGCTGCACAGCTTCCTGAACATAAACAATGAATTCTGAAGCCTCTCCACCCTGGGTATAGACAGTCACAGTCTCGATCCCCTCCACCTCATCTGAGGACACCACCAGATGATGCTGCTCTGACAGCTCCACCGAGGCTTGCTGCAGCGTCTCCTGGATCATCAGGGTGTGGTTGGCTGATTGTTCCTCTTCTTTCACCTGAGGAGACATTGAAGAGCTTACAGAAATTTCACCTTCCCAATAAATGCCCAGTATTGTGATGATTAATGGAAATACAGCACACAAATTAGTAATTGCACAGTTTCGAGAGAAAATGTAGTTCTACAAAAAATGTGAGCACTTTTGATTAATGAGTGTGTAGCTAGGCAGAATATTGAAAGCACCAACACAGCATCTCAGCTCTGTGCACAGAGAGCTGCAAAGTTCCAGGAACATTGGTCTTTGGAGACAGCTTTAATCTCTCAGCAGTCATTCATTCAAAACTGCTCTTATTCAAATAAATCTGATCTAAACAAGWAGCACTGAAGTGAGAACCCATCCAAAACCACATGGTAAAGCATCTGTACCCATGTCTTTATTTTTTTCCCTAGTCAATGACTGCTCATTGAAGTGCAAATTTCATTGTAAACCTTTAGGGTTTTTATTAGAAAAATGTGAAATATAACTGAAATAGATTCCTAAGGCCTACTGTTTCTTTGGCAGCAATGTTTACATTATTGAAAGGAGAGTGACAGAAATAAGTGGAAATAAAAGAATCTTTACTGAACATTTTGCTGCTTGTCAAAATTTTAAAGAGCAACACAATCTGGTGTTGAATTCCAAATTTATACAGGGTCCTGTCAAGTACTGAAATACAGTATGTACTAGAATTYAAAACCAAATCTTAATTCTCTACCAGATTCATATAAAATTCTAATGCAAAGTACTCCAGGCAAGTATAAATAGATTAGAAAATTGTAAGGCACGTGGAAGAAATGCATTCTCTCAAGTGCGATAAAATTATCTACTTTTGAGTAGAGAATGGAACAGCAATTTTTCAGTATGCAAAACATATGCAAAGGGCATTCGTTAATGGAAGGTGTCCCTATTCATGGCAGGAAGGTGGGAATGAGATCTTTAAGGTCCTTTCCAATCCAAACCATTYTACAAATCTATGATTCTGTTTGCTGGAGATCAGCGTGTTCTCACAGCACTGAATTCTTGAATGATCTAAAAAAGAAAAGGTCAGACATRGTAGGTTCTACAAAGTGTGGAATCTAAATCATAGAATTTAGAAAGGGATAATTCTTTTTTTTTTTTTAGTTAGAAGCTGACCCAAAAGTAAACAGTAGTGCCACAACCAAATTCAAGTAAATATAATTAAGATAATTTAGGTTGTTTAAATGGGGCAAGGGAACAGAAGGGAAGAACTACAGTGAAGGTTCCAAGGATCTGTTTGGTCCCTCAGAGACCAGCAAGGAGAAAAAGGAGAAAAAGAAGCCCTCAATGTTTGTTTTTCTGATGCTCTTTTCTCATTGAGTTTTTTCCCTAAGCGACCACTACCTTTGTTATAAAGTGACTTTGCTTTTCACTTTTCTATTTCGTGTTTAAAACATGTGTCAGAAGATTTCTGAGACACACAAGCCCCTCAGGACTTCATGGCACTTTGAACTTTCACTAAATTAATTAGGCTATAGAAAGCTTTTTCTTGAACAAGTATGTCCAGGTGTTAAATTATTCAGAGGATCCAGAGTCAGTATGGCTGTAATATATTGATGAAATACACATGGATTTTATCTGGTGAAAGATTTAACATGTAAAGGAAACCTGGCCATTGTCACTGACCTTAATGCACAGCACAGTTGTACCTACTGATGCACACTCTGGCTTCAGTGCACAGGATTCAGGTTATGGGGATAAAAATACAGGAATGGAATGAAGTCCTTTTCACATTCTGTTTATTTTACCAAACATATCTGAATGTATTATTTGAAATATACTTTAAACAGCTCCTGCTGAAGTTCAAGCTCAACACCCCACACAAGTACGTGATGCTGGATGTTTTTCTTGATACAATAAAATTTGCAATCACCCTCAGAAAGAACAATTTATGTTGTCTCAAAGTACAGGTATTATAGAATTACAGAGTCAWCTCATAGAATGGTTTGGATTGACAGGGAGCTTGGAGATGATCAGGTTCCAACCTCTCTGCTATGGGCAGGGACACCTTCCACCAACCCATCCAGCCAGAGTTGGGGCACCCACAACTTTTCTGGGCAGTCTGCTCCCATGTCTCACTACTCTCTAAGTAAAAAATTTCTTCTTACATGTCTCCTCTTTGACTTTATAAACAATGCCCCATGTCCTTTCTCCATATGATCATGCCAAAAATCACTCTCCCTCTTTTTATAAGCCCTCTTCACCAACATACCCCTCACAACTGGAAGCTAGAGTCTCTCTTCAAAAAGCAAGGAGATAAATAATGAAAAAAACATAGCACTGTAAATTTGTATCTCTTGCTGCTCCTAATGCACCCTTCAATTTTTTTTTCATTATTGAAGAAACCCTAAATCCTGCTGAGAACAACAGAGCTTTAGTGAATTCATACACCAAACTCCCATTTTCCTGACTGTCCTCTCCTCTTTCTTGAGGGCACCTGCTCCGCTGTCAGCTCCTGTGTAAAATTTAAGGACATACACAAGATCTGCTAATGAATATTGCAACAGGCCATGAAAAGTCTAATCACCATTGAATTCAGATAGGAAGCTGCAGTTAAAAATGTCAGATAATTAGAATCGTACAGCTTGTTATGAATCAGCTCACAATTACAGCCCTTGATGCTAGAGATGCTCAAGCAAATACAGAAATAGGGGTGTCTAAAATGTGGCCCTATAATTATGCAATATCCACTAATTTCTCTTGTTTTAGAGCACTACACATAACCCTCTGACAACRTGCCTCAGGCCAGAAAAATTACACTACATTTGCTAAGAGCTGTAAGAATGCACAACACACTAAGAGATGGATCTCACTGCTGTCACTCTAAATCAAAACCCGTAAATAATTTTAAATATAGTTTTGTAAATGTACATATATAATGAAGAAAGGAAAACAAATAAAGCATAGTTGACACAAAAATGAAATGAAAGCAGACTCTCATTCAATTCAATAGTAGCAATCTAATACTTACTCAGTTTTATGTGCTTTTGAAATGAAAATGGCCAATAAAGAAAGTTAATTTAACCTCCCTACCTGACTTTATCGATGTAGGTTTATTACCCTTGCCATACAGGGTAAAGAAAACAAATGCCTTTATTTCTGGTGTTTCTAGCTTCCAGTATCTRTTTTTGGACAGCTATCTGTAATGCTTTTAGTTTGACAAATCACCACATTATTTGGGATATTTACATTTCAAATCAGTTCAATGTTTACATGCTTCTGCTTGGTTCCTATTAGATAGTTCCACAGGGAATAATCTCAAAATGTTAATTTAAATCCCTCAAATTGATGAAACAGTGGGACAGCTGCCATCTAAATGAACGAAGTCACTACACTCAATTCTCTTTATTGGCTTCTGAAATCTTTTGAAGGGTAGCATCCAAGACCTCTTTTCTGTTTGAGAGTCAGCTGAAAAGCATCTGCTTATCCTTCGTTAGAGAATGACAGCAAGGAGCTGAAGCCACACACAGCTGGCACATTAAATCAAGTCAGTACCTGCATAAATATTCTTTATTAACTAAATCTGTCTCTCCCAAAAGCCAATGGGACTTTCACCATCTGGTTTTCACAAGAAGCTCAACATTTMTGAATTCCAAATACTCTTAATTCACATATCCAGGGACCATCCAAATACATGGAAGTATTCATGAAAAATGGGTCTCTCTTTGAGGAACCTCTTCTCAAAACAGAAAGATTTTAAAATTTGAAATAAATGAATTCAAGCCATTAAGGAATATGTACTTCTTCCCTTTCCTTAAAAGAAGTAAAAAAATATTTGCAGGAAGATATTAAGCCTTTTCCTTACTCTAGAGCTCATCCTGTGAAATACTGTAATATCTTTGATTTCATTTGAAGTCAGCAGGAATTGCAGGTCCATTGTGCTTAAAACAGTTTTGCTGGGCCTGTCCCCAAATCCTCAGCAGAATTTCTCCCTTGATTTTAGATTGAATGCTGCCTTTCAGTTTACCATAAAGCAGAAAAGTTAATCATAGAGATCTTTCAGATTTTCAAAACCTTAYACTAGGCTGCAGATGCTCCTATTTATATCAAAAAAACATCAGTAAGAAAATATACAAAATATCTGCAGAAAGGATTAAAATGAAAGCATTTTAGWTCACAGAGAGCACCTGGATATGTGATGTGTCAGCTTACACTGGTGCCTACAAGTTTTGTTCAGTATAGTTTAAATAATTTCAGCTCTCTCTCAGTTCTGGTTTACATACAATTATATTGAGCGAAAAAGACACACAGAAAACAATATAATTTGATCATTTGAATCTCTATAATGAGCTACAAAACAAAGACAATCTGGTGCACAATGGTTTTGAAATAATAAGAGGCTTCAGCATGAAAGACTTACTTTGCATAAAATAAAAAATGCAAGGAGACCAAMAAATCTTCCTACTGGTAGTGCAGATTTAAAAAAAGTTTTAGCAATTGTATGGTTGGATATATCCTGAAAGAGGGACTATGACTAAACATGGCACTCATCTGGCAAAATGCTGGATCACCCACTTCCTTTTGAGGCAGAATGGCAACAGGGCCATTGTTTTAGGAACTCTAACAGGACAGTGATCTTGACAGCAGATTTTATCTGTACCTCACAGAGATGAAAACTCCACAAAGGCTGAGGAAACAGGGATATGTGCCCCAGGTAAATCTTTCCATTGCTCTTACTGTCACAGGAAGCATCAAATGGCTCTGTGTTCTAAAGCAACTACAAAACTGACAATCAACAAATAAACAACTCCATATACAGGAAAATTTTCTAGATGAACAGCAGCACCCAGCATCACAAAGGGATCAACACAAGCCAGACTGAAACACAAGGTGTGCTGCTGAAATACAGTGTTCAGTAGCCTCTGATGTGACAGCTGTGCTAATATTAGGTATTTACTTCTGAAGATGTGTTACACTATAAAATTCTTTTCTGTGATCTGCTTTGAGCTGATGTATAATCTTTGCTCTGCCTTCCTACTGCTGTCACTTTGAAGAAAGTG